AAATAAGTCAGGTGGTCTCCAATCTTTAACTTAATTTTTCCTCTTTGCATTCTGTTTTCTCACTCCAGATTGCCACATATATATCCCTGTGGAAACTAATTTCTTCCCTCACACATTCACTCACTACCCCTTGAAAGACTGTCTATCCTTTCGCATACTCCCTTCCCCCCCCAGTAAATGTCCCCTGCTCACCTATGAAAGATGCTACCTTATATTTATTCAAAGAAGCCCATGACTTTGTAAGACTGATCTAAGCAAGCAGCACTTCCATCACCAAGTGGAAATCCATGGAAATGGAAAGCAATGGTGGGAAATGCAATGGGCTCCTGACCATTCACAAAAACATAAAATGAAGGGGTGATCCATAGACCTTTCTATCTCATCCCTTGTTCTCCACATGACTTCAGCCACAGCAATCTCAACAGATTTATTTCAAACTCTCTTTTAAGAGGGTCTACTACAATTGGCCAAGAAATCTGACAAGCTACCGAGGTCCAACTCGATTGTCAGCTCTCCATAGTTTAAATGTAAAGGGGGAATGGCAAAGGAAAACATTTAATTCACTAGGTACCTGCTGTGGAAAGATGAGAAAATAGAGTAGGTCCCCCACCCATAATTATCTGACAGAGGTGACGATGTTGGATGTTTTCTGTTGCCTTTCGCATTCAGCTTCTCCGATTTCCGCCACTTTGCCCTGCGATTCTGAAACCAGATCTGATGAATGGAAAGAAAGGATGCATTCAGGAAGGAAAACATCTACACATGGGGACACTGGCAACGAATCAGCAGTGACTGCTTCCACACATCACCAGGTGAGCCCAAAAACCTTCCTTTGACAGAAAGGAACCTCAAGAAACCTTTCTTCCGAAGAACCTGCACAATTCATTGCAAACAGAAAAATAATAGCAGAAAGACACCCCCAAACACCAATTTCCTTTGTTGCCCACAATTTTCAAGACAAAAGAGATTAATTCTGATCTCCTTAACCTCATTTATCTAGCCATTATATGATTCATCTTAGGAAATGGGAAGATATGCAACCCCAGACTCCATGGCCATTTTGGGTGGGGTTGAGCAGTGTCCATCCCTGTGAGCTCTCTTCCTTGTCACCAGTGGCAGGTGTAGTCATCACCTCCTCCCTGCCCCAGTCCCTGTCCATCCCTTTTCTGCACAGAACCCACTGTCCCCCACACAGGCATTACCAGGATTCGCTTTGGCATCACACCAAACGCAGCTGCAATCTCCATCCTCTTCTCAGTGTCGGGGTAGTGGTCTTCTTGGAACACCTTCTCCAACTCTTTTAGCTGCTCTAGAAACCATGCATTGTTCAAAAGGAGAGTGAAAGATGGGGAGTATGTGATAAACAAGAAAAAAAAACAGAAGAGGGAAGCAGATAAAAACCAGAACATTTTTACTATATTTAGAAACACACGAAAAACATAAAAGATTTTTTTTTAAAGTAAACCACAAAAATAAACAAAACTCTTCTTTTGCAGTAGAAACAAAGAGCACTGCTAGCGATGCTTCAAACGTAAGACACTTTATTTGAAGATCTTCTGTATTTGAAGATCCTCACACATCTGATGGTGTGGAATGCAGTGCAGCACCAGTTAGGGCAGCTCAGCACCTCCATGGGCCTTCAGCATGGGGAAAGGAGTGCCAGTGGGTGCCCCACTATCTACCTGCATTATAGAAGGTGCGGGACTTCTTCCTGACCGGTGGTAAGATGTGTGGATTCTCAAGTAAGGCTTTTTTCTCCTTTTCCCCTTTTCCCTCCTCCTCAGTTGCATCGTGGCTACTTCTGGATTCCAAGACTGAAGACACCTCGTAGGATTGCTGGGCTTCAGCACATTTGGATGACTGGCAAGTAGCTGGGCCACCCTTGTCCTGCCTGCAGGGAGCTCCAGGGATTCCACTTGCTGCTTTCTCGGCGGACATTCCACTTCTGTTGGTACTTTTTTTCTCCTTTGCCTCCTTTTCAGTCCCATCAAGGTAATGACTCTCACAGCATTCAGGGGACCCTGACTGACCTGTGTGCTCATGATCCACCACAAAGTGCTCCTTACACTGCAATGCGTTGTCCTCCTCATCCCAGCACTCTATAAGGAAAAAATGGGAAAAAACCCGCCCCAAAACCAACCCATACCGCACCCCACATGCACTGTGCCTGGATCAGGAGTTTCAGTTATGGAAGAAGGAAAACACCACACAACAAAACCCAACAGTGACAAGAATTGGAGAGTTCAAAATAAAAACTGTCACCAGGACAGAACCTGCCAGGGAAGCAAGAGCAAAGAAACTGATACGGTCAATAGGGAGATAGTCAAACCTCTGTGATGAGAAAAGGCTCATATTGAGAGTGAAGATGTCTACAAAAACATTACCAACTGTAAACTACAGGGAGAGGTAATTCCAGGCACAGAGAATAAAGGGAAGGTTGCATATTACAAATACAGCAGTGGGAAAACAGCACTAGGGATAGCAAAGATCTCTGGAATAATGGACAGAACAAAAATTAATGATTTACGAGCAAAAGAAAGACACAAGTGAAATTCTGGTCTATTGTGTCAACAGCGATTATCTGACAAATGTCAGACAATTTTTTATGTATTTCTGTCATACCAAAGTGGACCAAGCAAAAACCATTAATTGTATAAGCTTCTGATAACTGCCTTGAATTACTTTTCTGCAGCTTCAGCCACGCTGATGAATAACAGACTTACAAGACAGCAAATTAATAGCTGGATGAGGACAAAAATAGGTGCAGAAGTGTGACCAAGTTTAACAAAAAGCACAAACTGCATTATAGTAAGGAAGACTAAATAGTAGAAGACAGGTCAGAGAGAACACAGCAAGAGAAATAATTAAAACAGGCAACATAACAATAAAGAAGCGTTATACTTTCCCAGTTGGCATATACTTTTCCAAAAAACAATGTTCCAAAAACCTGTTGGTTGTCTTAGAATGTCTGAGTCTGTGTGATTCCTGCTAACTAAACAAAACAATCAATCAATCAAACAAACAAACAAACGCTTAAGAATAGAAAGTAGAATAACAAACCCAAACCCATGTATCTGCCTCTGTCTGGAGAGGGGAAAGTTTGAGCAGACTGTTGGCAGCATTTCAGTTGTATATGCTTACAGAGAAACTTGGTAGTTCAATTTGGGGGAGGAAAAGGATCTAGAATAATTCTAACATTTCACTCTGGTTTACTTTTGATATATATTAGTGCAATACCAAAATAAGGGATTTGCTTTCTGCCTCAATGTTTCTTTCTGAAACAACTGTTAGTCAAGAAGGAGCCCCATAACATCAGTCAGATGGGAGAATCTTCATGGAAGTATGAGGGGATGCCAGGCTGTTCCAAGACCTTCTAATTTGCTTTTTACAGGATTAAGAGAACCAAATTAGCTGCAGGGGAAAGAAACAGAAGCAGGAAGCTATGCAACTATAATAATTTGATCTTGTTAAGCAACAACAGTTTCCACTGCTATTGACATGAAATATTCTGATGGGGAGGGTCAAGAAACAGTGAGGCATAGTCTGGCTCTGTTCTGTATAATTCCTTTTTCCATCACCCTCCTTGTTGCCTCTTAGCTCATCTCACTCATCATGTGAAAAAACCACTATTTTCATGTGTCATCCATTCCGTCACTCACCCAACACCTCAAATAAGCAATGGCATTTTCAGCTTAGTGCTTTGATTTGAGCAGGGGTTTCACTTGTTTCTGTGCAAACACCAGTATGTGTTTACACCACAAAATAAATTTCCAAGTCTTGTGTAGGTACCTTCTACCTGGTTTATATTACCTACAGAAATACTCTTCCAAGAGAAAGTAAATCGCTCTTATTTCTAAAATACATAGCAAAGGCCTCACAACAACTTGGGATTGACAAGGAAGAGCTGTAATAAAAATAGTTTAGAGAGAAAGATAGGCCTTCATGGTAACAAAGAGGGACTTATCAAACCACTCCTTTCTCCCATATGGCAAGAGATCAGACTGAACATCACTTTGTCCCACTTTTAGATAAACATAACCTTAAGCAGAAGAGATTTTAACTGACTGGGAACATCAGACATGTTCAGTCTGGAACACCTGAGCTGCTGAAGGCACACGAGCAGGAAGCCAAGCTCTCTTTTCCTTCTCACAACCACCTCCTTAGACATTTCTCGGAGCAAGCCAACCACTTGCACTGTGACAGCAAGATTTCTGAGGGTTTTTTGGGGCGTTTGTTACAAAGCCACCTGAACGCATGCACACGGACAGATGTCAGAGATCCATCTACACAAGGAGGAGGAAAACCGGACAGTGGGGGGAAGGTACAACAGAGAAAACCGGAGGCAGCGGAAGCCCCTCAGCGCGACAGGAGGGGAAAGGCACCTGCCCCCAGCCCTCGCTCAGGTGCTTTTACAAGCCAAGGCATACGAGGGCCCCGCAGCCCTTCGTCCCCAAACTCCGCCACGGAGCCCCAGACACCAGGATGTGTCTGTGCGGGGTCAGGACACCGCGGGGATGAGGGAGGCTGGGGGAATGTTGGCCGGAGCGCCCAGATAACATCCCAGAGGAGCCATTACCCTTCCCCTGGCGCCGCTCATTAGGCTCATCGCCGGGTTCCTCCCTCAGGTCATTAAGGCGAGCCGGCACCGCCCTTACCCATACTCTTGTAAGAACCCTTATAATAACCCTTAAATTAATCCTCATAATAACCCTTACCATCACACTTACTCAGCTCTCCGGCCACCCGCTCCTTGTTCTCTCCGTCCGCGCCCGTCCCGTCCATCCCGGCTCGGCGGCGCTCCCGGCTTCGCCCAGCCCGGTCCGGTTAATGCCCCGCCCCAGGTCAGTCCGGCCCCGCCGGCTCATCAAGGAGACCCTGGGACAGCGGGGGAGGCTGCCCGACCCCCGCACCTGCAGGGAACGGGGCAGCGTCCCCGCGTTCCCGCTCGGCCTCGGCGGGGATGCTGTTCCCCCACGGAGAATGCTTCAAGCTCGGCTGAGGATACCTGGGAGACTGCTTCCCGCGAAGAGCTGGTGCAAATACCGCCCACAGCACGCCGCGGGAGGCTAGATGTTGCAAAACTCGCGTGAACGAGGTGAACCTCGTTATTTAGAGTGGTGTGTCCAATCTGGGTTCCTCAGTGCAAGAAAGACAAGGAGCTGCTGGAGGGGGTCCAGGGGAGGCCACAAAGGTGATGAGGGGGCTGGAGCATCTCTCTGAGGAGAGACTGTGGGAGCTGGGTCTATTTTGTCTGGAGAAGAGAATGCTGAGATAGGATCTCATTAATGCATATAAATATTTCCAAGGCAGGTGCCAAGAGGATGGTGCCAGACTCCCTTCAGTTGTGCCCAGCAACAGCATGGGCAGCAACAGCCATAAACTAAAGCACAAAAAGCTCCACCTCAGCATGAAGAACTGTAACAGGCTGCCCAGGGAGGTCATGGATCTCCCTCTCTGGAGATATTCCAAACCCACCTGACCTGCTTCCCTGTCACCTGCTCCAGGTGACCCTGCATTGGCAGGGGGTTGGACTGGATGATCTCCGGAGGTCCCTTCCAACCCTAAGGACTCTGTGATTCTGTAATCTTTTCCAGTAGGCTGGCAGGAAGATATTACTTTTTTAACGTGCTCTGGCTGTAGTTATTTAGCAGGGCTTCTGGTTCTCCATCAACGGGGGTTGAACTGTCTGCAAAGACAGTGCTGGCATGAAGAATGAGCCTTGCTTCCCTGCATTCTGATGCACCAAAATAGAACATTCTTCATCCTCCTCATGGTTACTGGCTTACCATCTTGTTGCTCTCATGGCACCATTCTCCTACTGTGTGTTTCCCTAATACCTTCTGTCTTTGTTTCAAGGTTCACTAGAGTTTGGAAGGTCCTGCTTCTACAGATGCTTTCACCTGAAAGCAGTTTCACCATGTTAAATGAGTGTAAGCTGAAACATGTGCCAGCATTTTGCAGACAGTATAATCGGTCTAACTATGCACCTGGTTCAGCCACCAGCTGCAAGACATGCTGGCTGCAAAGTCATTGTGGCTAAAATGGCATTTAGTTTGCTAACAGCGTTCAGCTGACAAAACATAACTCAGAAGGGACGGGACCTCTTCAATATTAGATAAAAGTGCAAATTATAAAAATCACTAACTGCTTTAGGGGTTCCTGTTTCTGAGCAAGGTAGTGTTTATTTACTGAACTCTGGTCCTAATGTCAGCTTTTTCTTTTGAAGGGAGTAAGAACTGTGGAGAATGCTTTCTTTTATTTTCCTTGAGGAGGGACCAACTCAGGTTCCCAGGGCTGTGAGCTTTTTTTTCTCTCTTTAGAGCCACATGTCTATATGTATATATTTTATACTTCTTTGTACGAAAAATTACAGGAGTCATAACATTTAACTTTCAGATGTAAACAATGACTTTCTCAGACTCTCAACAAAGCTGTTTAGATGTAGTTTATACTTGTGCTCCATTGCTGTTCTTGTCACAAAAATAAATTAGTGTAACTGCTCTCTGAGATTTTTTTCCGGTATAGAAATACTGAATTTCTTTTGTCCGGATACACTATGTATCAGTCTCCACAGGTTCCTGGGAAAGATACACTGGCACCTCTCACACAGTGTTCCTATGCCCTGCCTTCTTCGTGGATCTTCCTAGATAAGTATTGGGACTTGTTTGACAAACTCTATGCTTCTGTTTAACACTAATTTTTTGGGAAATCAGGTTATCCACATTAGATAATGTAGGGAGAAATCCTGACTCATAAAGAAGACTGTGATAGGACACAGCAGATACTCCGTTAGACTTGATTCCTGTATCCTGAATGCGCAGCTGGAAGGGGTATTGCACTAGTTTGATTAAGTTTGTACAAATTAAAGAGATGTTAATCAGCTTCGGAAAGCATTTCAGTGCAGATATGGATTTCGGTGGCAGGATGGTGCTAGAGTTAAAAATTGAAATAAATAGTGAGAAGTTCAGGCCTATCTGAAATGCAAGAAATCAAAGTAAACCAGGGCATGAGCGCATAGAAGCATAAGCCGACCTTTAAATGTTCCTAAACATACTCATTCGTGGCTGGGCTTCGTGAACAAAGATTTGGGAAGGGCTCTACCCACATTTGCTACAAG